CCCAGGGAGGCCGCCCAGGTCATCTTCCCGTCCATGGCCCGGGCCCTGCAGAAGTACCTGCGTACCACGCGGCAGCAGCACTACCACAGCATGGAGAGCATCCTGCAGCACCTGGCCTTCTGCATCGCCCACAGCATGACCCCAAAGGTGCGCCTCGCCCGGCCCCCGGCCCGCACTCGGGTGTGACCGGGAGGAACCAAATCAGAGGCTTCTTCGAAGCACCACTGATGGGGATGAGTGAGGCCCACCTGTTTTCTGGTCTTTGGGTGCAGCTGGTTTCCGGATGTGCCTCTGAAGGCCTCTAGAGTCGAGCAGAGAAACGACTTTCACGTAGAGACAGTACAGGTAGTGGTGAGGGGTCCTCGGTGGGTTCCGGAGCCAGGAACCCATTCTCACCTGCTCCTCCACCAACGGCTGCAACATCTTAAGCCAACTGCTTAGCGGCTCTGTGCCTCAGTTTCCTGTTCTGCAAATTGGGGATAATACTGATATCCCCTTCACTGGGTTGTTGTGAGAAATAAAGGAGTTCATTCGTGTGGCGAGCTCAGAACAGTGCCTGTTGTGTGGTAAGAACGCAGTAAATGGCTGTTATTATCAGAGGCAGACATGAGGCCAGTCCTTTGTTAGGCGTTTCGGATGTTGTGGAGTTCGTGTTACTGAATGGCCTTTGAGATCATGACGTGAGCACACTTTTAGGAAACAGTTGTGTAGCTCGTGGAGGGAGGTGGCCAGGGAGACAAGATGGAGTCAGGGTTTGGCAAACGACCTCTCTCCAGACAGATGTGGGTCAGGTCCTGGTCCCACCGCTCATTGGTTTGTGACTTCGCGTAAGTGACTCTACACTCGTTTCCTCTTTTATGAACTGGGGGTGGTAACAGTACCCACCCGATAGGATTGTTGTGTGAGGATTATATTCAATGTGGCAGCGTGACACGGGCTAAGGGATCCTGGCCTAGAGCACACGTGGGACACTCGGGAGCTGTTGGTATCGGCCTGAGGGCCTGTGTTCCCACACTGTCCTGTACACACACGAACTACTGCTGGTCACATTCTCACTAACCAGGGACAACCTCAGGAAAGCAGATGTTCCGGGAAAGGACCATAGGTGTGCAGATTCTTTGACTTGCCTAGAAAACGTAGTCAGCACAATCACACGTATCCATGAATATACTAGTACATGCAGGTGATTTGCAAAGTCATCTGTCCTAACTCCAAACAAAATGACTTACAAGTAGAACAGCACTTAAAGATTGTGGCATCTCCAGCACCTGTTGGACGTGGGCGACTCTCTGTTAGAATATTAGGCTCCAGAAGGGGGAGTGCAGAGCAGTGAGGTCGGCGTGTCTGCGTGTGCACAGTGAGGCTGGGCCCCCCCGGAAGCAGGCCTTTCCCTTCCTGCGGGATTTTGTAGTTTCCCACTTGCTTTCTTTTTCATTTCAAAAATGTCTACTTTTCTGAATGAATAATAATAATCTTTGTATAAAAGTCCGAACATTAAAGAATGGAATAATGTACCAAGTGAAGTTTCGTTCCCCTAGTTCGAACAGTTCTTCCTGATAGAGTGGGGGTGTGAGTGTGTTTAAAGCAGAAATGGGGGGTGGGGGACAAATGGTATCCTATATACATATAGTCTGGAAACTTGCTTTCTTCCTTAAAGCTCTCGGGCTCTCTTTCGATGTCAGGGCTTCCCGATCTCTGTCCTACACATGGGACTCTCTCTCTAACAGCCGCACTGCCTTCCACTGAATCCTGTGATGCGCTTAACTGATTGCCTGTTGGTACGCTCTTGGATGGAGCTCTTTTGTGAGTCTGAACCGGGGCCGGGCCCTTTCTGTTCCTCGGTATGATCGGAACGCAGCCACGCCCCCTTATTACATATCTTCCGTGGCTGCTTTCTCTCCACGAGGCCGAGCTGAGTGGTGGTGACAGAGTGGGGCTTGCAAAGCCGAGAACATGTACATTCAGAGAACAGTGTGCCAGCCCCTGGCCTGCACAGTGCTGACGTGACTGTCCGCTTTGCACGTGTTTCCGTGCTCGCGTGCTGGTGTTCCTGAAGGACTCGTTTCTCTTGGAGGAGCCGCCGGGTCACAGGCCGTCCTTCCGAGGAATGAGGCAGTGTTACACTCGCCTCTGGGATCCTCGGATCCGGGGGGGGACACTGCTTTTTCCCCCCCACACTCGGCAGCGTCGGGGTCACCGTTCTTTTTACTCACTGCCCACCTAAGAGAAGGAAAAATATTTCTTACTATTTGAATTCATATTTGTAAAAATTCTTAATGTGACAGGACGTCTTTCATAGGTTAATGTTCTGTTTATTCTCCTATAAGTTGTCTTACTGACTTCATTTCTCTGGTTGTTGAATTGTTTCTTTTTCGTGTGGTTCCTAAGAGCTCTTGTCATATCAGAAGTGTGTTTGTACCAGAGGCTCAGCTCTGCTTAGAACAGGTGCTCGCAGCGCTGAGATCAGGACCTGAGGCAGCAGCGAGGGGGGTGCTGGGGACCCCTTACCGCCTGTGTCCCGACCAGAGTGACACATCCCAGCGTTTTCTACGTCTCGCCGGCTCATCCTTTCTGCAGCCGAGTCAGGGTATTGATGGATGTGATACACGTGCTGTGAGCTCGGGTGTGTGCTGGGTACAATGGGAAGCCAGTGCCTGCCCCCAGGAGAGGAGAGTCCCGTGGGGGCCAGACCCCAGGTCAGCAGTTAATTGTCCCGAAAGGGTAAGCCGCCCGGGCGTCCAGCAGTGATCCCAGGCGTTCAGGGCGTGCTCATCTGTCCTGGAGGCCCAGGAGGCGGTTGGAGAAGACTTAAAGGGTCAGGGGGGATTTAAAGATGACATTCAGCAGCATAGTGATACCGTGAAGGTGGGGGGACCCCAGAGAATCCAAGGAGCTGGTCCCAGGAGGTGTGAGGGGAGGTGGGGCCTGGCCAGCCCTCAGACTTGCTGTGCACCCCCACCCCCATCGCTGGCGTTGATTGGCAACATTGATCGTAGTCACCTCCTGCCATGAAATGGTTCATTGCCCACTTCGTCCTCACAGCAGGCCTGTGAGTTAGGTGCTGTCATCCCCATTTTCAGAGCTTAGTCCCACAGCCCCAGTCCCACAGCCAGCTGGCAGGAGAGCAGGTGTCTGTGTGCGCAGGTCGATCCCTGCAGGTGTGTTCTCTGGAGTGTTCTCTGTGCCCGGCCTGCTGAGCTCCCAGTGTGGGAGGAGGCAGACCTGCAGGCAGGGCCTGTGCAGTGACGGCGGTTCCCCGGCCAGGGCTGCCCTCGGACCAGGTGGCTCTCCCTAACGGCCTCCTCCTCTGTTCCAGGCCTTCCTAGAGCGTTACCTCCGCGCGGGCCCCACGCTGCAGTACGACAAGGAGCGCTGGCTGTCCACGCAGTGGCGACTGGTCAGCGACGAGGCCGTGACGAACGGGCTGCGGGACGGACTCGTCTTCGTCCTGAAGTGCCTGGACTTCGGCCTCGTGGTCACTGTGAAGAAGATCCCCTTCATCGCGCTCTCGGAGGAGTTCGTAGACCCCAAGTCGCACAAGTTTGTCCTCCGCCTGCAGTCAGAGACGTCGGTGTAAAAGTCCTGCGTTTTCGGCTTTATTCCAAGAAAAGAACAGGGAGGGAGACCCGCGTGCACGCAGGGCCACCTGGCGTGTGTGACGTTCATTGCCGAGACTGGCCGGCGCTGGACCAGCGGCCTGACCTGCACTTTATTTGGAAGGAAGACGAGGTGTCGCCCTGGAAATCCGTGCGGGGGACACCTGACTGGCGGATGGGACTTCTCCAGAGGCCGTCCCCCGGCGTTCCTGTGGCAGCTGTAACCAAAGCGGAGCGGGCGGCTCTGGGAGCCTCGCCTTACAGCTTCGTCCCCGCCGACTCCGGCGCCACACCCTCCCGCAGCTCCCAGGGGACGCGTCTTTATCCTGGTTCCGGAAGCCAGACGTGTATGTGTGTGTGTGTGTGTGTGTGTGTGTGTGTGTGTGTGTGTGTAAAGGTCCAGTTCCACTCCCCCCGCAGCCAGGGGCTGTTCCTTGTTGCCTTAGGTTCCACCGAGAGAGATCACAACAGAAAATGTGCACTAATGATTCGATTGGATCTTTCTTTTCCCAAAGAGAAAACCAGGCCGCTCTGTTTCTGATCCTGTTTCCCTACCGGTCAGAGCAGGTAGCCTCTGCTCACTCTGTGATGGGCACCTGTCTTCACCCATCCGTTCCCTCCCCTCCCCCCTCCCCCAGCAGACAGACAGACAGACACACACACATGCACACACATACACACACACACACACACAGACACCACCCACCCCGGCTGGCAGGTCCGGCCCGGGAAGCCCAACCTTCAGAGCTGCCAGGGACCTGGCCCTGCCCGTGTGCCTCAGGTGCTCCCACAGATTGTTTGCGTGGATTGCCAGGAGGGCAAGCCAGCTGGAATGTCCCTTAGAACCCCTCCCCGGCTCCCCACCCACCAGGGAGGACTGACACTGTGGCGGACTGGCAGCTTCAGCGTGGAGCCTCTAACGTCCCGGGAGTGCCTGCCAGGGGAGACCAGCCACCGCGCTGACAGCTGACAGCCCCTGATTTCTGACCACCGTCACTGTGCACCCCACTCCTGCCCTCTGCCGCTCACTCCCGGGAAGGGCTGGTCGGCCCCTGGTGTTGACCTGGCTTGTAGAGTTTGGTCAAGAGAGAAGGAAAGGTGCCCTGGCTAGGGTGGCTCAGTTGGTTGAGCATCATCCTATGCACCAAGAGGTCTCTGGTTTCATTCCTGAGGGCACCAGAGAGAGAGAGAGAGAGGGATGGAGGGAGGGAGGATGGGCTGCAGAGTGTAGGGAAAGGGGAGTGGGGGCCAGTCTTAGGGTCCGTGATCAGCTTCTTAAATGCAGCTGGTTCCAGGGGCTTTCCCGGGGCCTGGGCTGGGGGCGGGGAGCCTTCCTGGCAGAGGCCTGTGCAGGGGCTCGGGGGGAGCCACACGGGTTCTCCTGCCTCCCTCTGCCTCCTGTATCCACGGCACACCTTTACCAGGTGCTCCCTCGTGCTTTCCCAGACACGTAGGGCCCCGTCCGCTCGCTTCAGTGTGTTCCCACACCCCCCGCCCTGGTTATGCGTCCACAGGCGGCACAGGATTCGTGTGTCGTTCTTTAAATCAGCGTCGGCTTTGAATATTTGTACCTGAAAAGGGAAACAGTGTTCTTGAACGAACAGCCTTCAGGTCGAAAGGAAGACGTGTTGGGAAAGAAGGAAGGGAAGCCAGTCGGCCTGGCGTGGGGCCGAGGAGTGCTGTGTCACCGCACGGCTCCGCTGCTGGAACACACCCCCGTAACCATGGTGCTTCCGCCCTCTTAGTGTTTGCCTGTAGGTCCCTTCAAGCCGGACGTTCCTTAGGGTGATGTCTTTCTCAGGAATATGTTTCGGGAGATGGTGAATGTCTATAACTTTGGCTGCGTGAAGGTTACAACGTCCGAGGCGGCTGCGTCGGGGGCACAGCGGTGGACACGCCCTCCATGTCCCTGCACGTGGTTCGCTGCTCACCGGCGTCCCCAGGGCCCAGGCTTCCAGCCCGGTCTGCCGTTGCCAGCCCTGGAGGGGTCACGTCGGATTGGCTGCTTCGGCGCCTGCACCCCCGCAGGTGAAGAAAGGTTAATATATTTCCTCTCTACCCGTTTCTCTCTCCCTCAGCCTTGTCAGACCTTCTGAAATTACTGTTTCTGTTTTAAGTTGAATACTGATTTTTTTTTTACACTGACTTTGTACGAACCCTTTTTTGAAAGAATACCAAAATAAAATGCAGGGTCTCTGGACACAGACTTTGCACATTCAAACCCTTAATAGCGGGGACAGTGTCCATGGCGTTAACACGCTGAAGAGCCGCACCCCGCCCTGGAACACAGCGCGTCTTTATTTCAGTTCCTGGAACCAATCGGCTGTTCTTCTTAAAAGGGGGTGTTCTGTGCCCTGGGGCTGGTCGCCTATAGATACATCCACGTTAGAGGAGACAGATTTCATTTGCCTTAACTGTTTATAGATTTTTCTATAACTTTCAACCGAAGGTTTTACATTGTGGACGTTAATTGCTAAAGCGCAGGAGGTAATGAGCGCCCGCCCGAGACCGCTGTCTTCCTGGCGGTGTCTCAGCCAGTAGATAACTTTTGTCCTGAAGTGCGTCCTTTCGAAGGTAATGGCCATTTTTAATCGCCCGTGACCTGAATGTTGAAGTCTGCGTGCTCGGAGGTGGAAGGGATGGTAAGGTGTGGTCATTCATCCATCCTTTGCATTAGCAGTTAAGTTGAAGCACGGAATGCTTTCGCTCAGGTTCATCAAGCAAGCCCTCAAGAAAGTGCGTGGCCAGCGTGCTGCCCGGCCATTACCATCTCCCTTTCTCCCTCTCTCTTCAAATTTACGGACAGGACAGGTCCCATACAGCGGGTGGTAAGAGGTAGATGGCCCCTGTGGGTGTGTGCACACGTGTGTGTTGTGTGTATGTGTGTGTGCCTGTGTGTTGTGTGTATGTATGTGCCTGTGTATGTGTGTGCATGTGCCTGTGTGTGCACGTGCCTGTGTGTGTCGTGTGTGGCTTGTTGCCCGAGCTTGGACCTCCTTTTCCATCAGGAGAACGTGGCTGTGCTGCTGTGTGTAGGAGAGGGATGAGGTGCCCGTCGAGTACTCTCTGTCTTGCATCTCAGCTTCCCCTCTGAGTACACGTGTTTAGATGTGGATATGGCTCAGTGGGGAGCCATGTGCCTTTTGGGTTGGCAGAACGCGATCACCCTGCCCCTCCCCATGCCTGCCCCTGGGAGAGAGTGTCCCAGCCACTCAGTGAGACCAGCAAATCAGGCCTGCGGTTGGCTCTTCCCCCTGGGCCCTGCTGTGTCAGGCTCTCTCAGCAGCGACGCGCATCCTGTGTGGCTGGGTGTTTCCATGCACATGAGCCTTTCTCAGCGTGTGTGTTAGCACGTAGATGGCATGTTTGCATGTTAGGCACCTGCACATCTGTGTTGTCTGTGGCAGATGGTATGTCTCTTCGTAGGTAACTTGTTTGTGTGTTTCTATGGATGAGTGTGTGAGGTGCATGTGTTTCTACACAGGCCGTGTGTTCGAGAGATTTCCTAATTGCACCCATGGTTGGGAGGGTGCTGCATAGCCAGGGACCCCGCCCTCCCTCCTGTGCCCCTTTCCCTCGGTCACACCGGCTCCTCCCAGGAGTGAGCGACGTTGGCACTGAGCTGTCTCCTGCAGGGCCCGCCCACCTGCAGGCCAGTCCACGGGACCTTGTTCAGGCCTGTCTGACCTGACAGCAGAGAGGAAGGTCAAGTTCTGTGTCAATTACCCTTCCACCTCCATGACCCTGGAAGCCTTACTGTATGTTTCCCAATACAGCTGAAAAACTGAGCGTCATCCAAAAAATGAGCTGGAACCCTGAGGGTAGCACAGAACGTTGGCACGATACTTCAACAGTCCTTCCGCAGCAACCCTGCGATTGTAATGTGATGCTGTGTTTCTGGGTAGCATTGATGCTTCCTGCATCTTGTTACAAAAAATAAATCCCTGCTGTGAACATACTACCCTGTAACCTTGTGGTCATGTTCCATCCCACGTAAATGCGAGTTGTTCTTGAGCCCAGAGCACAGACAGCCCATGCCCGGGATTCAGTGCTAGTGAGTGGAGCTATCAGACCCACAGCGAGAACCGTACTCACTGAGCTTTAACCCAGAGGATGCTCGGAACCTTCAGACAATATGGTCAAAGAAGGAAGAGAAGGTCCTGACGTATTCACCAGGCACGTAGGTCAGGGCCTTGTTATCCTCACAGCCTCTCAAGGTGGGCTCCCTCAGTGGTGCAGGTGAAAAAAAGGGTGTCGGAGAGGGGGACACCTGCCACGGTCTCGGGTAGTGAGAGGAAGTTCGCATCCAGTGTGCGGTTCCATCCCTCAGTCACTGTACCTTGAGGTCTGATCTCACTGAGCTGGCGTTTCGGATGCAGAGGAGGGGCCTGCGGACACTTCACCTTGAACCAGAACCTGGGTTTGTCGGAGGTGGAACTGCTTTTGCTCCTTCGCTTTGGGTTTGCCCAGAGATGTGGCCCCGCCAGAAGCAGATGTCATTGGATTTTCAATGAAAAGAACTTGAGAATCCTCCCGCCCCCAGAAAAACCAGTGCTGCCCGTGTCGCCCTGGGGCAAGACCCGGTGCTGGTCCCTGTGCTGTGTCAACATCCTGTCGCTGGCTGGGGGGAAAGGGTTGGGGGGAGAGGGACCACCCGCGGGCCTGGCCAGGAGCTGTGCGGCCCTGTTTTCCCTGTTCCCGTGGCTTTAAGTCTGGGCTCTGTTGTGCCTAAACTACCCTCTTCTCTCCTGCTGTTTGCGTTCAGTAAAGGACAGGGAAACGGGGACAGTGCTCACACCCTCGGCATTGTGCTCATCAGGAACGGGGACAGGTGTCAAAGGGCAGATAAGAAATCTGAAACTACTGAGTACAATGGATGTCAGGACTGTGAGTCCCTTTACCGGGCCTTGTCCCGCCTCTCCTTAGATAACCCCGCTTGTTTGTTTCACCTGTAAAATAAATCTCTATCAGGAGTGTCCCCAGCACAACAACAGATTCCTAACCCCTGAAGGGTCACTTCCCATTGGCGCTGAGTCTGCAATGTATACATCTCGGCTCGAAATCTCGGCTCTTGTCTCAGTGAGATAAAAACAAGCTTATCTGAAGCCTCGGGACAAACGTGACCACCCCCTGGGCTTCTAACCTGAATGTCTTTGGTATTTCTTGTGGCACGGAAGTACTATTTGGATAAAATAAACAAGAAAATCCAAACTTTGTTAATAATTCCTTGTCTTTATAATGTAGGCTTTCATTAACTAGCAATCCCTTCTGGACCCCTAAATTATGACCCAATTGGATTTCCAAGCCATCGCTTAGGAGTACAAATGTGTGGCGTGTCCAGCCGGCTGGGTGCGGCTCACTGCGGGGTGCACGTAGCCAGCCTGGCGGATGGCCATGTCTCCACGGATGCCAGGCCAGAGGGGCCGGGGCCAGGTCTCATTCAGAGAAGTTTCTTTGACGATCACTTTTGTGTTGAAAGAACTGTGCGTTTCTAGATTCAGAATCCAGCATCAACCCAAAAAGTTGAGTGACAGACTGTCTCGTTCTATCTGATGGAGCCTTAACCGTTAGTGCAAGGATGTGGCCGGGGTCTTTCGTGTTCTCCCGGATTAGCTGACGCTGCACTTTGTAGCCAGGAGGGCCAGTTTGCTGACCAGCCTGCACTCCTGAGCATCGCGTGTGTATGGCGAGTCTGGTGTGACTGCCTGCGCCCTCAGGGCGGCGGGTTCTCGGAGACATTCTGAACACGTGAATGAATGAATGGACGGCCAGCAGCCGTCTGCGGGAGCACGCGTGCCTGCATTCACAGGTTATGCTGTGACCTCCTCTCCCTGTGGCATCAGTAACGGTGCCAGTGTCTCTGAGGGGCAGGGTGTGCCTGGCATCCGGTCATTTTGAATCCCCCGTCCCAGTGAACTCATGTTACATGTTACATTTTTTATTCTGTAAAACTTGGAAAATAAGCAGAAATCCTAAGTGGAATTTTGTTTCTCTTTCTCATCTAAAGAGTTTTAGGGGACATTTTCACTCTTGCATGATTTAGATACCTTATTAGAGATAACCTGTCAAGTTTCTGTGAAAACTAAGTCAATTAGGGTAGATTGAATGGGAAAGTAGAATCACCATTGCATTTAAAACACACACACACACACACACACACACACACACAGACACAGACACACACACACACACACACACACACACACACACACACCTGGTTGCGGTTGCAATCATTTTATGGCCAAGAGAATATTCTAAATGAATAGACTACTGGAAATTAAAATCTTAGGCTCTAAAACCTGGAGATGAAACAGGCCTTTCTGAGTAAATCCACAAATGGAAAAAAGATCTTTGAGTCAAGAGTGAGAAAAGTGTCATACGCTGGATTTGGGGTAGCGGTGGTGGTGGTGGTGAATACTGGATTGTTTTTGTGAGCGGCTTGGTATTTCAGTTTAAATTGGTGATTTATTTTAGCTAGCTCTATTTAAAGGGAGCTTGATTATTTGACAAATGGATTTTTACTCAGCTATCTCTTTACCTGTGCGGAGCGCCGACAGCTCACACATTCTTATCTGTTGCATGGACAGGAGTGAGAGAAAGCAATTGGTGTGAACATGTTCATGGTATAGATCATTGATAAGCTGTTTCTCTGGGCCGTCAGCCAAGATGTGCACCATTTATATCCTCATGAACAAACGCTACTGGAGAAAAGATGAAAGCTGTGTGCGGACATAAACCAGAGATTCCTTTCTTTTCCATCCATTCCCCACGGTGCAGCCATAGAATGTTGCAGAGTTTTGAGAGTCTCGGTGAGAAACTATCAGGTGATGGACGTGGAGTGACGGGTATCAGGATGGCATCAGGCAAAGCCAGTGCCAGAGGCAGGGGCATGGGAACAGCAGTGTCTCTGCTTGAAGGGAAACTCAGTAATTCCCTGTTGGTGTCAAAGTGTCACGCAGGCATCTTCTCATTACACGGGCTGATGTTGACATCAGACAAGCAAAGCTATGTTGGACTTCTGGGTATGTTGTCTGTATCTATATCTGATCTTATTACTGTGGTTCTGAGAATTCATATTCCAGACAAAATGATGATGCATTTGTGGAAATGACACGAGGTGCTTTGAACATTTTTCCTGTTCCAGCTTCTTGCTCATGAAAATGATTGTGCATTCCTGATAACACAAGTGAATTATTTTTTTCCTAATAGGATGACCTTGACATTCTAATGATCTGACATCCCCCATACTGTTTAAATGGATCATTGCCTCTTAAATGAATGGAGAAGGGGTCTCTTGGTGTAATCAGTGAAAAGGATTGTGGGACATGCACTTGAGTCCATCTTCGGACACTTTCTGAGAAAAAGAAATGGGATCCTTTGATTCCTTAATTGTAGGAATTTCGTTTAAATCCTTGATTTAAGTGTAAACATGGGATTATAGTGACACTCTTTTAAAGTGTTTGTGTGACCCCAGGAAAATGACACGAGCCCCCCGTGTCCCTCTCAGATTCCTCGTCTGTAAAATGGGGAGAATAACCAGACCCATCTCCTGAGAGCCTTGTGAAGATGAAGTGAGATAATTCACGTTAAAGCAATGGCATCGCGCTCCAGGCCAAACATCCCCTAACTATCAGCTCCAAACGTTTCAGACCAGTGACCAAGGAGCTGCTTCCAGACAGTGACCCCCAGAGCCTCTGACACAGGAGCTCAGGGCGGGATTTAAACTGCCTGCGCATTGCTCACCGTCTCCAAGGTTGAACAAGGGGATCTCCCCGGGCTGGGGAACAGACCACTTTTATGACAGACCACATTCCTTGGCTGTTTGAAAGATTAGCTTCAAAGATGGCTGTGAAAACGTACCTCCCCGAGAGGTTACTGGAGGTAAGCCTGGGCCTGGCTGGTTGGCAGCGTAGCCCAGCCTGGGATGCGCCTGCCTCGAGTTGTGTGTGTGTGTGTGGGTGGGGGGGTGGGGGAGGAATAAGAGGACGGAGCCCCTGCATGCAGTGTTTTACCCAGCAGTCCTGGGGATTACGCATTGTTACCCAGCAGTCCTGGGGTGTTACGGGTATTCTGATGAATCAGTTATTCGCTCATCAATTCAATAACGGACTATCTACTTGGTGCTGGGGATGCAAAGATAAATTCCTTGCCCACAATTTACTGAAAGGGCAAATATGAAATACGCGTTGCAGTTTAAATAAGTGTGGTGAGCATGGCTGGCATGACTTCAGTGGTTGAGCATCAACCTCTGAGCCAGGAGGTCACAGTTCGATTCCTGGGTTGCGGGCTAGATCCCCAGTAGGGGGTGTGCAGGAGGCAGCCAATCCATGATTCTCTCTCATCATTGATGTTTCTATCTCTCTCTCCCCTCCTCTCTTAAATCAGATTAAAAAATATATATTAATAAATAAGTAAGTGCCGCGAATCGGGGTACATACAAAATGCCATGGACGTAGAAGGGAAGGGGCCAGGTCACCTAGGCCAGTGGTCGGCAAACTGCGGCTCGCGAGCCACATGCGGCTCTTTGGCCCCTTGAGTGTGGCCACGAAGTTTCAATCGCACTGTACATGCGCACCCGCACGTGGTATTTTGTGGAAGAGCCACACTCAAGGGGCCGCAGTTTGCCGACCACTGACCTAGGCAACTGGATAGATGGTGACATCACTCATCCAAACTGGGGCTCCACTAAGAGGAGGAGGGGAACCCTAGGGGTGAAGGTAATGGCCTTGGGTTTTGGTACATTGTTTGAAGCGTTTGTGCAACATCCAAACCAAGATGTCCAAGAACAGTTGAATAGATGGGTCTAAGTCAAGGTTAGCAACCCAGACATGGAAGTCATTAGCACATAGGTGGTGGCTGATGGGCATGGATGATCCTACCCTAGAAACATGTTAGAAAGAGTTGAGATACTGGGAAACACTAGTATTTAAAGGGTGGGCAGAGGAAGGAAGGCCAGGAAGGAAAACTGAAGAGAGAGAGGGAGAGAGAGAGAGGGAGAGAGAGGATTTCCAAGATAGTCTTAATATTAGGGAGCTTTTGGGTCTTGTTCCTCAGCATTGGCCATCAGTTTGGCTCAAATGAACTCATAAAAATTCTCCAAAAAAAAAAAAGAGAAGAGACAGTTTTAATATTTTCAAGATATGACTTTAATGACAGTTAGTTAGCTAGTATTCCATAAAAGGATTGCCCTATTTTTGAAGAATTTGCAGTGTCTTACACATGTCAAAAGATTGAGAAAATAAATTAGAACATTATTATTCAAACTTAACGCTAAAACTACCGAGCACGATGTAACTTTTAGAGAGTTCTGAAGGCACTTGGGCATGTTTATTTTAGTGCCTCGGGGCATCACTATGAACTCTGTTTACTGTCCCGGTCAACTGTGGGAGTGCTGATGAAAGCAGAGTTAACTGACCTCTGGATAAACCAACCCTTTCTCCAAATGGGAGGGGGTGTCCAGACCCGAGCTCAGGCTAGGAAGCCACCTGACCCATCAGAAAAAATAAAATCCTTTCCTTCTCTCAGC